TTTTTTTTTTTTTTTTTTTTTTGGTACCGGGGATTGAACTCGGGTCCTTGCACTTGCAAGGCAGGCCGCCGAACTGCTGAGATAAATCCCGGGCGCAGGTTAATATCATATTAAAAGAAGACTGTTTCTTGGTAGTAGAAAAGATTTGGATGCTGATGCCACTGTCAGTGAAGGAAGTGATATCTATAGTATAAACTACAAGTAGATGACAGCCCCCCAGAAATAACAGGAAGGAAAACAAAAACAAAACAGAAAAACCAGGAAAGCAAGAAAGCATAACAGGCCTTTTGTAGGCTAGGGATATAGCTTGGTGGCAGCATAGTTGCCTAGAATATGTGAGGTCTTGGGTTCAGTCCCTAGTATTGGAGGAAAAAAAAAAAAACAGAAGACCCTTTATTTCGATTTTTCTGTTGTGTGATTGAGGAAATACTGCTTTTAAGCCAGATGAGCCTTTCACTAGAATGACAAAGACATGGAATGAGGCAGGAACCCTTGCTTTGTACTTTGCTTTCAGTTACATAAGTATTAGCAAAATAAAGCTAACTCTCTTAAACTAGTATAGAGGGAAAGCTTTCGAATGTTTGAAAATCTCCTAAATAATTAAAAGAAGTCTAATCCATTGCTTTTCAAACATGAATGTACATACACATTACCTAGGGATCAGAGAGAGAGTGTATAAAATATACATAGGGATAAACATGCAGTCATATAAAATATTTCTTACTATGAGCATCAAAGGTTTAAAAAAACAGTGTTTTACATGACTAAGGTTACTAGTGATTTTAGTTAGGCTAGTAAGAGCACTATACTATTATCTAATTATTACAGAACTAGAGGATTGTGTTCTACACCCAAGTGTGTGGTAGATGTCTAATACTGCTTTTTTTATCAGAATGTAGACACTAAAGGAATGAGAGACCAGCGATTGGATCTTCAAAGAAGAGCAGTAGAAACCAGTGATGATGACCTTATTCCATTTGGAGATCGACCAACAGTATCTCGGTTTGGTGCCATATCTCGAACGTCCAAAACGATATATCAGGGTGCTGGCCCAGTGCAGGCTATGGCACCTCAGGGGGCTCCCACAAAATCTGTTAACATTTCAGGTAAGACTCAGAGAAAAGCTGATCTAAAGGGTTCATAATCATGATCCCAGAATAACCCTTCCCTCTTCACTGTCTGTGCTTCAGTAATCTTCCAAGGCAGTAATTTTCATGGTGTTGTGTAGAATTATCCCTGTAAGATAGGTAATTATAACCCATGGAATTTAAGGGAGTAAATGAAAATTAAATGTCTGTATATTAAGATTGCCTTGGGCCAGAGATTTAGCTCAGTGGCACTGCCTCACAAACACAAGGTCCTCAGTTCAATCCCCAGCATCCCCTCCACCAAAAATATTGCCTTGCTGGGCATGGTGGTACACACCTATAATCCCAGCACTTGGGAGGCTGAGGCAGGAGGAGTTTGAGACCAGCCTGGGCTACAGAGTGAGTCAAGGTGAGTCTCAACTACACTGTGAGGGGCTGAGGATTTAGCTCAGTGGTTTCACCGCCAGCCTCAACTAGTGAGACCCCCAGCATCCCCTCCACCAAAAATATTGCCTTGCTGGGCATGGTGGTACACACCTATAATCCCAGCACTTGGGAGGCTGAGGCAGGAGGAGTTTGAGACCAGCCTGGGCTACAGAGTGAGTCAAGGTGAGTCTCAACTACACTGTGAGGGGCTGAGGATTTAGCTCAGTGGTTTCACCGCCAGCCTCAACTAGTGAGACCCCCTG